GCAAGTTAATGACATTCTCACCAACTTTTGTTGTTGTTTTTCCTTGGGGGGGGGGGATTCTTCCTACCAATTAGGGTACCTAAATCCTAGCTATTTATTTAATTAGCTTAATCAATTATTTTGTATCTTTGTAAACATTAGTCTTTTATTGTGCTATTGATACTGCCCTGCTGTCTAACTCTATAGGTAAACATTGATGTGTCATAGTAATCTATCTCAGATCCCAAGATTCTCTAAAGTTACTCCATCAGAATCATTTAAACTTTAAAGGACTTTAATTGGCCACAAGGCATTGTTAGGAAGTATATTGAGTAATTAAATGCCAAAAAATAAATTGCTTAAGTTTTTGTGATTAAATAAATATATATTCAGAGAATAAAGTACTTCAACAATCGTAAATGATCCATTATTTCTGTGGCCTTCACCTTCATGGTTAAACCCAAATACACAATAAATTAGCTAGGAATGAATCACTTTTTACATGATTCAAGCTTATTTTATGCAGAAAATAAAATACATAAATCGCCAATATGAAATATAATCAGTAATTAAATACCAGAAAATAATTTGCTTGCATTTTTTGTGATTCAATAAATTTTATATTTGAAGAATAAATTATGTCAACAATCATCATGAATGATCGTTTATATTGTCATTTTGGTAGTCACACACATACTTTTTGCAAAGTAACGTTGCTACAAATGTTTTTCTGTTGCATGCAAATGACGGTTGATAGCTAGAGCAGTTATGTCAAAGCAGAAAAAGTTAACGCATTATCTGAATGATTCAGCAGAGAAAAGTTGCACCCAATTGAGATTACAAAGATTATGAAAATAAAATCGACTTCAAAAGAGGACTTTCCTGGTACAGACCTATCCAATGATTCATATTTTAATGTGAAGTTGCCAACATAAAATTATTGGTTAAACTTGATCACATAGAAAATTAAGTTAAAGTTTTTAAAATAATAGTTCTTTGAGCAATTGCTTTAAACATTTGGTGTTATATGTATGGTGTTACATACATAAAAATTCATAAATAAAAGTTGACATTGCTTTTTTCTGTTAGACTTACTGTCATGGGTATTTGAGCATACATGTTGGCTAATGTTACTTCTTATAACTCCCTGACTGGCTGGAAAGCTGAATTCCCTTGGATTGAAGTTGACGATGATAACATAGGGAAGCTGTACTGCAAAGTTTGCCGGACTATGCAGACAAAAAAATCACCTTTTTTCAATGGAAGCAATTCCAGTATAAACACCTCTGCTTTCTGTAAACCATGTGAAATGCCAAGGAATACAGGATGCAGCAAAGGCAAAAGCAGGCTCAAGTAAGACCGATAAGGCTCTTGACTCGATAACAGCTGATGAGAAAGGAAGGATTCTTAGGCTAATTAGCTCAACTCATACACTTGCACTAAATAACCATCCTTTTAAAGACTTTTTATGATGTAGATGTTAGAAAACTTACACCAGTGACCATCAGTGTGCTGTTTTCACTAAATACATTGCAGAAACTACAAAGACTGAAGTTATTGAATGGCTCAACATGTGTGATGGTTCTACAAAAATTGCTGTGAGGGAAGCAGAACTATTTTACATCTGTGCTGCAAAATAAGGGGTGATTAGGGTATTTCTTGTTGCCTGCAAGGTTGTAGACCATCCAAGTTCTGCAATTACTCTGACAACAATGTTAGAAGCACTAAAATAACTTAACATTGCAGAGGAACATTTTTACCAACATGTTGTTGGTCTTGCAGCAGATGGGGATGCATTAAACTTTGGGTCCCGGGCAGGTATTGCAGTGGAGTCGAAATGGAAAGCAAGTGGGATCATCCCAGTACATTGCATGGCTCCTAGAATATAATTGGTTATCAAAGATGCAGCCAGAGAATTGAAGCACCAAAAAGTTTAAAATGAGTTCTTTTTTAGCTTTACAGTAAGTTCACAATTTATCAGTAGCTAGGGCTGGGCTGATCAAATCAAGAAAGGTGGAAAACACTGAGAAAAGTCTCCCTACATAAGTAGGAGGCACACTTTGGGTGCAACATACAAATATAGCAACAGAAAACCTACTTGGCAAACTGCTGCATTGTCTGATGAGTCACAGACTGGATAACAACTGTCTTTATAGTGGTCCATTCATTCATAACTGCATCTGGACTGAACAATGTGCATAGATTGAGTGGTTCTTGAAAATGATCTAAGAGCACCTGGATCTCAGTATCACCAAACCTTTTCAAGAGCTCTTTGTTATTCAATGGCCATGTATTGATATTGCACACTGAAAGTGCCAAGATATGTGGGTCATTCAGGTCTCCAAACCTTTTTTCAAGATGAGATTTAACAAACTTAGGATCTTCTCTCTATCTATGCCAAAATTACTTGAATCATTCTGCAACTCTGTGATACCACAGTGAAATGTGAAGCCCTCTTGCTTGCTTTCCTTGAGTAAGCCACTAAGGGCTGGTCAATCGCTTGTGCTATATCTTTGCAACACCTCTAGAATTGCATTTAGGGCCTCGGACACATCACATGGTGCAATCCTGCCTCTGCACTATTTCAGAAAATTCTCTCAAGGATGATGTGATGTGTAACATTAGATGAAGATAGAGAACCATCTTTCTTGATCTTAGATGTTTCAGAAAACCTGTTGCTTTACCTTCGAAGGCAGCAGATGCACTCTGATCATTGGAGACAGCATTCAAATGTGCAATCAATGCTGGGTATATCTTTGGAAATGTGGCAGTGAGGTGGACATGAGAACTTTCTTACACTCATTGATCTTATATTCAGCCTGCAAACACATATTGCTGAAGTAGTGTGTGGATTCAATTTATACAAACTAGTGCATACAGATTTGCAAAATTGGTTTCAACCAGAGACTGTATCAGACCTTATGAGGATAAAGTTACATACAACAAGTGTAAAAGCAAGGTAGATGATGATACGACAGAAGCTCAATGTGAAGAAGCCAGTCTCAAATCATTTTGATTATGATGACTATTACCTTTTGATAAATAAAACTCATAATTACTTGAGTTTATTGATTTTTTTGTTAATTCTAAGAATAGTTTAGAAGTCACATAGTTATACCCTTCTCACAAAGTTGAAAACAAATAGGTGAAACGAGAAAGCTCAAACTGAGGAAGCCAATCTCAGATAATTTTCATTATGATGACTGGTAAATTTGGATAATTAATTTTGATAATCCTTTGAGTTTATTGTCTTATAGAACAAAAATAAATACTTTGTGTGATAAATAAGTTATGAATTAGTTAAATTATATCATATAATAAATTTAAACCACATACTATGCTTCTTGCAAACAAATTAAAACATAAATTATCATAGAAAAACTGGGGGTCCAGTAAAGCCCTTGGGGTATGTGGCAAATATCTTTTTCTGCCTGACCCATCAGTGGAATTGTTTCTTAATTTCATGCCCTGATCAAGTTTATTTTTATCTAAGTAAGTAGCTTACTGTGACCAGCAGTTCATTAATAATATTATCTAAAGTTTTTGTAAAAGCCAAATGCTTGACAACCACACTGGTGGTTCATCCTTTTTGGAAAGGGCTGAAAAGCTACTGGGAATTCCTAGTGACTCATACAACAATACACTGCTTATAGACAAGACAGACATACATATAGTTATACATTTCTAAACACACAGTGTTATAGCTTTCATAAACTTCATCTATTTTGGCAAGCATTAAACTTATCATAACAAACACCAATATTGTTATAACTAAATTTTTACATCATTATAAAACCTTTAACTGAGCTAGTAATTCCAGAATATATTTATACAGGTTTCTAACTTAGGAACAAGTAGGTCATAGTTGTCTTAAACAAGACTTTAGTAAGGTCCTTAAGTGAGGTATGATATTTTAGGTTGTTATACCACAGGACAGATAGTTTTATGTTGGATAGTTGTAGAAACAAGATAGTAATAGTAACAGAATAATCTCATTTTAACTCAAACAGAATATTCATATGAAAAATTGGTTTCATAAAATAAGGTATGCATTAAAAATATTTACAAGTTTTATCCTATGTTACAAAAAATATTGATTTTTATTTTTGTGTTTTCATCTTCATACTGCAGTGTAAGTATAGATGAATGATGTAAACGTAAGACACACTGGTCATGGATATTTGTGTTTTTGTCTTGTTAAAGTATAATTACAGAGATAATAAAATAAAGAATTTAATTTTCATTAAAAAAAAGTGGCAATTTTATTTATACACAAAACGAATACAATATATTTAGACAATTTTAGAGTTTTACCGGTTGTTACAGTCCCTGTTGCCACATACAGTTATGCTCTATCTATCTATCAACAGTGCATTCTGAAAATAGTCTTACAGCATTTTTTACAGAATCTATCCAGTGTACAAGAATGACGGTTTCTAATCACCCATTTCAACAGTTCAATTCATATTTCTTTGTTTTCTAATACCATTAAATACAAGGAATATCCTCACCTTGGAAATTCTAAATCCTTAATCTGAATACATTTTTATGATCTCAGTGTACTGTACGAATATTTTAAGTCAGAAAGGGCTATAGACTCCTCCCAAAAGTTATCATTATCAATTTTAGAGGCATCAACTTGATCAAACAACCTACGACATGACATACAATATTGTTTTACTTTTAAATTTAATATAATGTACACAATCTTCTATATCTTCACGCCCAGTACAGACCTAAAGGCTTAATTAAATTAAAGCAATGGACTACAGTACACGTGATTTTTACGCTAAATCAGTAAATGTCCTTAGTATATAGTAATACAAAATAAGTTAGAATAAACTTATATAAGTTATAACTTATACTGTGAGTGTTCCTGTAGTTAGTATTAATACTATTAACGTATAATAATTAGTATTACTAAGTACTAGCACTGTAGACTAGTGTAAGTTGCAACTTCGTTACATTGTAAGAACTAGTTAATAGCGTTATTAACAATACGTTAATAACATATTCCTTACCTATTCTTTGATATGTATTTTCCTTATAATTTTTGATATAACCGTCTATTTTACTTTTACTCCGTTTTAGGCGATTTCATTTACTGTTTGGCATAATTAATCAACCAAGCAAATTACTAATTTAACTAACGTATTCCAACAATATGATGGTCTGCAAAAGTGACATCTAAAAGTTTGAGACAGCTTGACTGGATAATGAAAAAACTTTATAAATGTACAACGTTTCGACAAGATCTTGTCATCCTTAGGTACAAAACCTTGTCGAAACGTCGTATATTTATAATAAGGTTTTTTCATTACCCAGTCAAGCCATCTCAAAACTTTTATTTTCTTAAAAGTGGGTTTCTCGTTAACAAATTAAAAGTGACATCTGAAGCTGTAAAATGTTCCTCCCCTTTTAACTCATTAGCTCCATCATTTCTTAACTGATTTGAGATCTAATTACAGTTTTGGACTTAGGAGGTCAAACTCTTCCGATTGATGTATTTGACCCCGCCGAAAATCCCATAGATTAATTTATTCTAATCCTGCCTAAAAGAATTTCAATTTGAGGGTAGGATAGTAAGGATCCCGATGAGTAATAAAATCGAATCGGGTATACGCGTATCTCAAGCTTGGTATTGCTGGCGCAAAAATATAAAAACACACACAACTTATAAAAGTTTGTATGAGCAATAATAAACCAAATTCGATGACGAGGAACTCACGAGACTAATAATGGTTGGAGACGTCTCCATCCATTAATAATATACCAAAGTGTTTGTATTTTGTTGTGTAATGCGGCGGCCTTTTAACTTAATTGATTTCTTAGCAAGGTGAGGAAGAAAGGATTAACTAAGTACTCACAGAATTATTGAGTCTTTAAACTTTCTTATTTTTTAAAAATATAAAAGTATTTTTCGGCTAAACAATGGGCTATCTGTGCCCTGCCCACCACGGGTATCGAAAACCCATTTCTAGCGTTGTAAATCCGCAGACATACCGCTGTGTCATTGGGGGCCTTCGTCAGAGAGTCAGACTCAACCAGTAGCTCAAATACATTTGTTGATCAATAAATCCCTGGCAATTCACCCACCAGTGTTCCACCAGACTATAAACAGAGTAGACAATTTGATCCACCTATCTTGGACGATTTCCAGGTCGAGACATAACTAGTATAGGCTGTGGCACCAATGATAACAGAAGAAAAAAAAAACGATACGTTTGGGCATTCCCACAACTCAAGAAAACATTCACATGTGAGAGTCCACAAATAAGTAAAGAGTCTTAAAGGGCTATATCGTATTTGATTCTTTTCAAAAATAAGTGTATGTGTATTCAGGTTTTAATTAATGTATTATTTCAAAGTTTTAAAGACTAAAAGGATGATTTTATTTTATATTACAAAGCGTCAAGGACTGTACTGGTGCTTGCATGTATATAAATTTTGATGTAAGACTCGAACAAATGCTGTATTTTCTGTATTGACTCACATGGGCATCTCATCAAAGCCTGTAAATATTGTTACGTCTCGGTTCGTTAGCTAATTTTCCTTAAATTCGTTCCCACGAAACTTTAGGACACAAGTCGTTTCTTAAGTAAAACTGGTTTATTCTTTCTGAATATAACTTTGCGATACACTTAATTTCAACAGTCGCGCTATAACAAACGCTATAACTCATGTCTCACGTGGCCAACAATATTTTATCCGCATACATTCAATTACTCATTACCTTGACTGCAGTTCAATTACTCATTACCTCCGTTGTCCCGTCACGTCGTGAACGTCTTATATATACAGGACTAACACATATCTAGTAAATGCTAGGACATTCTTGAAGGAACAGGATATTTCTAGAAACAGGTGGAGTGATACTAGTCACGTGACCTCGCTGACGCAACAATATCAATCATTTGATATAACTTTACAGGTTGTTTATTAACTTTATGTTCACGAAATATTTCTCTAAAACGGCCCAAAACGTGTTTAAGTTTTAAAAAAACGTTCTTTTTCCAGGATTAGTATTGTTACGCCTCCAGTCGTTAGTTAATTTTCGTAACTTCGTTCCGACGAAACTTTAGCGACACAAGTCCTTTCTTAAATAAAACTGGTTTATTCTTTCTGAATATAACTTTACGATACACTTAATTTCAACAGTCGCTCTATAACAAACGCTAGAACGTTTCACGTGCTCGTGTTCGACAATACTCAATTACACACTCTCTGACTGCAGTTCAATTACTCATTACCTACACACGTTGTCCCGTCACGTTGTGACCATCTTATATATACCAGACTACCCCCAGTCTAGTAAACTCCCGACAATTCACGAAGGTTCGAGAAAGAAATGGCGTGATACTAGTCACGTGACCTCGCTGACGCAACAGTATAATTACATTCAGGACTCCGATGACCACCTCCACCTTCTGCATATATCTTAATGTAGGCTTTTTGAGACTCTGGCATATTATAGTTTGCATGCCATCCTGAACTTTCCTCTTTAAGTTTTAAATAAAGACGTACACACACACACACACATATATATATGTTGCATTAGGGGCTTAAAGGATTTACAAGGTAAATATTATAAGGTGACGGTCAATCTCACATTTTATTGGTAAGAGAGTAGTCCAAAAGTTGGCAGCAGGTGGAGTTCACTAGCACTCTCGTCACATGCAGGTCAAAGTGCGCATATTACGACTTTTTAGAGAATTACATCTAACATTTAATCAAAATACTTCATTATCATTGTATACGAATAGACTTACCATCTAAACGTAGCTAATAAATCAGATTTTAATATCATATAAGTTTTAAATTCTTAATTTCATAAAAAAATTATGAAAAAAAATCATCAATTTCCCCTAATATTAGAATTGTGACAATTGTTTTCTAGGTCTTCCCTTCTTTGATTTATTTACTACCCCTCCAAGAAGTGCAAAATTTAATGAAGATTACCCAGTATAATATAGATATTACTCTGGCAAAGCATAATTTATATAACTTTCAATCCTATTTCTCTAGGAGTTATAACCTAGAAAATCAGACCAATTTGCCTATGTGATAAAAATTCAGCTAAGCTCATCAATGTGTTTCCGTTGGGAATAAAGTTTGAATTGGAACTGAAATAGAAAATTTTCTGTACGGGAAACAACGTAACAAAATACGTCATTTGATAGATTAAAACTATGGTATTTTACTGGTTATGAAAAATGTATATAGTATAAAACGTCAGAGAAAACTATTGGCATTTTGTTAAAGATGGTATGTGACAGGTAGGTGTGTTAGAAAGTCAGAAAATTATGATAATTATAGGACATGGTTTGCCTTGTGCATGTTATTATTCTGTATTCTTAGGTGCAGTATTTAATTATATAAAAATTATTTAGGGTATTAGTGTGAGAGTGAATTATACTTATATTTTGTTTGCCTTTTATTTATTATTCCTTCTATCGTTTAGTTCAACTATGAATTTTTAGTTATATTAAAGAGCTAACTTCCCTTCTAGCTAGAGCACATTGATTTGAGTATGTATTATTCATGATGTCAGAAGAACATATAGGTTCAAGAAGCCTTAATATAAAACGATAAAATACTACAACCCAGCGCTTTCGAAAGGACCTTTTTTTCCTCGGGGGCAAACTGGGAATCATTTTGTAAGTATGTATTATGAAACTGACACAAGCTTACCCTAGCGGTGACATATAGGTTTATTATATTATGAAATATTATGTACCTTTATGGTAACAGCTAGTCACATGAGATGTAACCTCCTGATCTAACCACTAAATAAAAACCCTTTCTTGATCTTCAACGAGTTAATTTACGAGATATAGATAGAATTATTGCTCGATTTTGTTATTGATCTTGAGAAGTGGTATAAATTTGGAACATTATGCTTTTTTTTCGGAATTAGTTTTTACTTCTTCTGATTGCTTTCCCTAATGCCTTTATTTTTAAAAATTAAGATGTATGTTGTATTGTTTAGTAACGTTTGTACCTAGTCCTAGCTAAGCACGGGGTTACTAACTGGTTTTTGTAAGTGACAAAATTTATAATTGTGGAAAAGTCATATTTTGGATTTCTGTTGTATTTTAATAAATTGTTTTTGTTTGATCCTGGTTGTAGCAGCGTTTTGTTTTAGTCCATTACAGTAATATAATTAGTATAAAAAAGTAGACTTAAGTTTCATCGACAGTCGACAGCAAAAAGAAAGACCCAGGTAAGTAGTATATTTCTTGTTTTTCATGTATATTCTTTATTATTATAAAAGTAACTAAAATGTAAAAAAATTATAAACTTAGTAGGTTAGATAAATTAACGAAAAAAAAAATCTTAACAAGGTATGCTTGCTGGCAGCTCGTGCGTTACATAATTCGACAGGGTAATTGACTGAATGCATATAGATTTAGGGTAGAGAAAATAACCAATAATATAAAGTTTTATTGAAAAAATTGATATGTATTTAGGAGGTTTTAGAGATTAAGTAAATGAAATCTGACAGTTTCAGATGAAGAAAAGTATTTTTAATATTAACACGACAATCACTTTAGACTCGGAGCAATCAACACTTTGACTCCATATATTCAGCGAGAAATTTTTAACAAAAATACTTAATCAAAAATTATGATTTTTTTTTATACAAAAGATTTGAAATGTTTATTGAAAGCTTGCGAAATTTAATAAAGGTACAGATGACATATTAAAAGTTATAGTATGGAAACTATGTTGGTCATTTTGGGGTCACGAACTCGGTCGATTCGCCGAGCCCTTAGCGAGAGAAAGCTAGCTGCTTTCCCTTTAGACTATCACATTTAGTCCTGAAGTAGTTTTGTGATTAAAAAGAAAACAAGAACATCATATAAGGGTCAAGTGACGTTGACTGCTTCTGTAGGAAGCACCACAAAGATCAAGATGAGGAATGCATCATGATGCATGAGGAAATTAAACAAACGTTAGATTTGTTGTTACATTAACTTTTTGTTCCAAGAATAACAACAACTTGATATGTGAGAGTTGTAGCTCTCTCACCACAGGTTCTTCAGAACACATTGAACTCTACATATGTATTTCATTGTACTATAAGATGAAATTGTAAATCTCATAGGTAACCTGATATGATCATCATATAGTAAAGTTGTTGTTTTTACCTCTGGGCTAGAAAATATGGTTGATTTAACATTTATTATCGTCGCTAATCTATGTGATAAACAATGTTAAAACGCGTATCTAGATAGCTATAAGTCTGTCCATTTGTTTCTTCATCACTGCTTTGTTGA